CCTAAACGAGGACCGCCGAGGCCTTTTGATGTAATGGGCTCGCTCAAAGGCCAATGCATGCCTACGTCCAAAAAGGGGCGAACTGCCAGGGAAAATCCCCCTTGGACGACATCAGTAAGAAGCATGACCTCGGCTGACAGGTTACAAATAGGTGTCGCCTTGTAGGCCCGGTAGGGCCTGTTGCCCACCAAGCTACGCTCATCTGATCTTGACCGACTACGCCTTGAGACCGCAGCTGGGCTCCGTCGAAAGACCGCACGGTGACTACGATTGTCATCTCCATCGTCACCAGGTGGGTTGCCTCCTTCATCACCGTCATCGTCATCATCGGCACCAGGACCTCCTCTGAGGAGGTCGGCTCGAGATAGCACGACAATACACAATTACCATCCACAACTACGTCATCCTCCTGCTTGCTTCCGCCAATGGCAGCAATGCGCGTGTGTCTGGGTATATGTATGTGGTGCTGCGCTGCAACAGATGGCAAGTGGAAGGAGGCTGAATGACTGTGCAGCACCCGCACTCTACCACCTAACCCCCTTAAGTCACACAACACAAAATAATCTCTGCGCCTGGCCCTTCGCGGTGCCAGAATCTGTGCAGCCGGCAAATCGACGAGCATCACAATATGCGAGCAGGCTTCCCCATGCAGCTCAAGGCCGGGCGTGCGGAATGAACAGGTGGTCATTTCCTCGGGATCCAGCTCAAATTTGCTGGCCAAAACCTCTGTAAGAGTCCTGCCAAACTGCCGGCACATCGAAATGCAAAACTGCTTCTGATGATATTGCACCAGTACTACCTCTGCTTGGCTAAAATAAGGCAGACGACTTAAAGGCCCCCAGCACGATCTATCAGCACATATTTCAGCTGCCGAGGGCTTTGGTATGGGCTGTTGCTGTGTGAGCGCGACGTAAATGACGTCGCCATCTTCCAGCTGCAGTGGTTGTCCTGGTGTGTGTGGCTCTTGTGCCTCACCTATCCTAATAACCAAATCAAGTGCGCGCTCTTGAATCTGTGGAGTGATGAAGGCAATCAACTCCTGATAGGGCAAGGCCCGCGCCAGGTAGCATGCGAAGTACCGGCCGCCAACTTCTGTCAGGTCGAGCAAGGCCATTGCAATGGGATGCCCTGGGCCTCCTCTTGCCGAACTGGGGAACCGTAAAATACTTAGAAACCCCCGGAAGCGCTGTGGCCGTGTGGGAGTGCACACATTGTATGTGTACGGCTCAACACCTGGGGCACTATCTTTAATGACATCCAAGCAGTGCTGCAAACCCTGCCAATGAGTGCAACGGACCGCAAAGGGCACTGCCCTGACGTAAGGTGTGTAGACAACACCACCAATCCATCTTTCCTCCTCTGGCCTCAAGGGGTCATCAACAAATCGAGGCTGATCTGGCAGCATCAGCGCCTGATTGAATGCATCGACCCAGGGACTCGAAGGAGCCGACGGATTGCCAACAACCGGTATATCAAGCTGCACCAAGGTAGGCTGAAACAAAAGCTGCCCAGCATACGTGGTTTGCCTTTCGATGGGGACGTACGGAGCACCCGATCCGGCAGGGGCTCCGGCACCTGAAGCATAGGCGTTGCCTTCCCCGGCGGGGGCAGCTGCAGCGCCACACGGCATGAATGATGCAAGCACCCACAATGGCACTCCTTTGAGGAGGATACCTGGTTGTCTCACATTCAACGGGGTGCTATGAAATCCTAAAAGACCTCTAAAAACCCAGATCCATATCATTGCTCCCGGGAATCCGGTAACACGGGTCTGGCCTGGTTGCTGCCGCTTGGATCGACGTCGCATTTGGGCCTTGTATAAACGGAGTTGTCTGGCAGTCTTCATAGATTGGGGTAGGCGTATGACATCACTCGACACCCCAGTCACTTTAAAGCCAACAAGAGGAGAAATCCAGCTGCGGAGGCGGGGGCAGAGGGGCAAACAAGGGCAGTGACACCCATCGACAGAGCCTGCGCTTCGACCCAATCAGCTGCCTGACGAGGGCATACTAACACCCCGATGTGGCAAATCAGTATGAGCCCCAAAAGGAAATGAAAACCCCCATCCCCAAGGGCTATATGAGCAGAACGAGCAGCGGCCTGCAGGGGGCACAAATTGCCTCTCAATTTGTGTCGTCGCAAAATGAGGCACAAAAGTAAAGCACATGTGAGGAGGGCGATAGTCGAAAGCCAGCCATTGCCATCATCGGGATGACAACCCAGATGTCTGCCGGCTGAGCAATAGCCCACTCTACGGTAAGAATGAGGTTTGCAGGTCCGCGTCCCAGAGCCACCGATACGCGTGTTGGGCACCTGCATAAAACAAGTATTTGACGAATCATGCTGCCCTTGGAAAGGCTGCAAAGCCCGAATCCGTATGAAAGCAGGCCTAAAAAGCGACAGAACACTATTGCACAAGTGAGGCCGGCTTGAAACCTGTGCTTGACCCTTCTGCAAAACACTGGCGGACGACCCAGAGCTACCGATTCGTCTCTTTAGCGCCCAGTGCTGCAAAGGATAAAAAAGAACGACTGAGCAAGTGGCAGCTACAGTCGAAGATGCTGGGGACAAACAAGGATCATTCCCCTGTACCTGATTAGGCGGATGAAGCTTCGCGATCGCAGCACAGGGGCTTCCCAAAGGTGCCGAATTCCACTGCACCCGAAGCAGAAAAGGATGAGAGAAAATCCATTGCGATGGAGGAAATGGCATGGAGGAGTCCATCTGCGAGGTAAGAGAGCAGGCCTGCTGAGCTATATACATCCTCCCATGGAGGCACTGTACACCGCACTCACGGTCACTCACTGGAAAGGACTCCTGGATCTCAGGAACCCGAGCAGTCGACAAGTGGCATTGACCGCAGAAGAACACGGATCTGGACCCCTTACCCCAAGGAGTCGAAGATTCTGGCCTCTGCAGCCTGCCAGGAGCCGACGCTTGAGTTCCCTCGTCCAAGGGTCCTTTCAGAACTGTCATGAGAGCAGATCTCCTGCACCTGGTTCGGCTCTCGACATCAATGCATCCTCGTCCTCGTCGTCGTCCTGGACAATGTTCACAGGGCAAGTGGGACCACTGTCTCCTGGTGGCCTGTCCACAGGAATCTGCCCAAAGGCGAATAGGGCCTTCGCTGACTGTCGCTTCTGCTCCAACTTTTCTGCCAGCCCCGGGTTGGCTGAGGCCTCCGCAGAGGCTTGAGCCTTGCTGGCATCCTTGATATTTGCCCTCGGCGCTTCCACAAAGGTTGGCGTTCTGGGCTTGCTCATGTCTCGCTGGCCCGTATGAGGTGTAGCACCACTCTTTGGCCCCGCCAGCCCGGGTGGTGGGTGCCCATCTCCAACATAGTCGCCTGTAGGGTTGCCGCTTGCTTCGGGAGCAGTGATGACCGGACTCGCCTGCATGTATGGATCTCGCACTGCAGCAGTTGCTCCCGCCAACATGGCCATGTAGGCATGTGCAGCCTGTGCACGCTGCTCTGCGGTCATCGAGGCCTGGCCCTGCTGTGGTGTTCTGGGGGCCCTTTGAGTGGGCCTCTGAGGGGTCACCGTCGCTGTAGCATCCATGGCACGATGTAGAACACCGTCCCAGTCCGGAGCAGCTTCTGCATCCCAAGCAGAAAACATCTGCTCCACACTGTCGTCCTGGGCTACTTCTTGGCCGGTCGCCACAGGGCCTGTGCGGGCCGCTGCTTCGTGAGCTGCCTGAGTAACACCCTCTCTTGCTGCAGCCATAGCTGCCTCCGCTTCGATCAGCTCCTTCCCGATGCGCTCGTTGTTCTGCTGGAACCTGTGTTTTTCTTTCAGGTATCCATCCTTCATCTTCTGGCAGTAGGCCTGCCATTGCTCCTCTGCCGCCGACCTGGCCTGATGTAGCTTCATCACACGTTGCTCTGCTTTCCTTGCCCCATTCAAAGCAGTTTGCAAGGGGCCACCGAAGTGGCCAATCCCAGCTGCATGTAGGGCCTCCTCTAACTTCGTCTTCCCTTGGCCCTTGGTCGGAACTGAATCGTATGTTGGGAAGTGCCCTGCTGCTGGCTGCCGCCATGGGTCTCCCTGCTTGGGAGACGCCCAACTGCCACGCCAAAGCTGCCAGGATGCATGCTTGCCATCCTGACCTTGATGTCCTTGCCATGCTCTTCCACGTCCTCCTATGTGGCGGAGGTGCTCAGCAAAGCTTGTAGAAGTGGAGTGATGCGAGGACAGCAGCTTTAGCTGTCTCCCAGACAGTGTCCAACCTTGTTGGTATCTGCAGCGGGCTGTGGACCTGTCCCTGCGTAGCCTCCTATGCCACGATGGGGATCCGCGAAGCTTGGTAATGGCGGCGCGGTCGAACCTAATGGTTCTGGGGCCTCAATATTCTGGCTGCTATTGCCAGCGATTTGAGCCCTATATATATATATATATCTCTGTGTGTGTGTGTTTGTGTTTGTACGCAGAAGAGCATCGAGGCCGGCACTTGAGTGAAACGAAGCAAAGGGCATAGACTACGGAGGAGGGCTTAGTCACTTTCTGGGAAGATTGTTGCATTAGAGTTCACATTTGGTTCCTAGGAGGTGGACATGCTCTGCTCCACGAAGTCTCTCATAAAGCCCCCTGTCCGAAGCCTTAAAACTTGCGGCCTGTCACCCTAAATCCTAAATTCCTAAAGAACCCTAAACCTTTGGTGAAAGTCGGTGGTTGGGCTGTAGGCCTGTAGGCATTATGAGAGTTCTTTCGTGGGTGCACAAGCACGATCCGAAGCTCTTCAACACGGACTACTATGGGGGCCTTAAGTAATTACCTATACTATTTTGGGGTTTCTTTGTTACAATGATAGTATGATATACCCCAAAAACCTTCTTCTAACCATTAAGGCCCCCTATATCATGTGTAGCCCTGCTGAACAAGTCGCCTGATCCTTCTGAATCTCACTGAACGCCTTGACCAAGCCCTATTCCTACCCTTGCAAGCCCCCTTTCCTTCACTCATCGTTCATGACATAGGAAATCTCTGCCCGTGGGCCAGGAAGTGCCGAAGAAAGCCACCAAGGCTGGCAAGTTCAGCTTTTGAGAGCTGTCCTTTCTGCGAGATCCTCATCCCAAGCCTCAACCCTAAGCCGCATCCCGAATCCTTAGACCCTGAACTCTTCGCCAACCTGCAGGTGGCAGATCCAGCGAAGAAGCCCGAGAAGGAGAAGGAGAAGGCTTTCCGGATTCAGATTCTCACTACTTCCGGGTCCCTTGCGACGAAATCCTGACCTTCAGTAAGTAAGGGTGTTTGCAGTCTTCTGGGGCTCGTTTAGGGTTCATGGTCGAGGTCCTGACATCGGAGCCTGAAGAGTTTGAAAACATATATGACTCTTAGGGAACCCTGAGATATCTAGAATACGAAGCTTTCCTCCAATCATGAAGGGGGAGATCTGAGGCTTTTTAGCAAAATCCGCGCTTGAATCTCAGAGGTTTGGGGGTCTCTTGGACTTGGGGTTTAGCCGTTATTTTTGGCGAGTTTTGGGTGCTTTGGCGCCTCCAGTCTCGAGTGGTGTCGCTTTTCAGGGTTAGAGGGTTTGGGGTTCAAAGGGGCTTCGGGCTTAAGGCAGGGCGTGGGTTCGACAGGATGACTGGTCAAGATATGTCAAGAGCCTCGACGCTGAACTTTCTTTCTGCTTCTCTGTTGCTCTCTCTTCCTATACACGGTGTAGGTACGCATCGTCAATCCATCCAACCATCCATCCATGCAAAGATTACCTACCTGCCTGCCTGCCTGCCTGCCTGCCTACCTACCTACCTACCTACCTACGTACGTACGTACGTACGTACGTACGTTACATAATAATTGCATACATACATACCAATACATGTACGTACAACCATGCATCAAGGCATCCATGCATGTGTGCATGCATACATGCGGGTGTTTATAGAGAGGTGCATAATATGTATACACAAGCACACAAAACACTTGGTTTTATTCTTTGTACACTCATGAGTGGAAGTAAGTCTAAGTGCACCAACAAGGCGCCCGTTCGCGAGTGCTGGCATTATGGGTGGGAAGCCCTCCACCACGAATCCTGCACACAGCTAGAACCGAACTACAGCAACATCGCAGGCGGCCGAGACGAAGAAGACGACCAAGGTGGACTTGTGCAAAAGCCTTTCGAACTTGGGAGCCTAACAGTACACAAGGACTTTTCGAGCAACATAGGGGCATTCTGGCTCATCAAGGCCCCTACAGACCTCAAGAGGTTCTCAGGAAGAAACAAGACTTGGAGCGTCCGACCTTCAGGTTTGGGGTTTAAGGCTTTGGTTGGCTGTTCCGGCCACGTTCTAGCGAAGATGATTAGAATCCATGCCGCCCAAGCAGAACTCCAAAACCTCGCACAGATCTCTCCCAAACGCTCTCCCAAAGCCCAACGCCCGGTTTCCGGATTAGGGTCAAGGCTAGGTACAATCTGCCCGGTGCAGGCCGCTGGTGAGACCAAGAAGACAACAAAGGCCTTGGAACGCCATGGAAGCCAAGTTTGTCCACAGTTGTGTTTATGGTCTAGGACTTCCGGGTTTTGGGCTCAGGAGTTGGAATCTTAGGGTTAAGGCAAGTGCCTTCTGTCATGTCCATTTTCATTTTGCTCGCTCTCTCTCTGCGTCCCTGTCCCTTGCCTAGCAGACCCTATAAAACGTAACAAGTATACCAGCCAACACCCTCTTGGCTCCATCGGGCTCTTGTGCTGCGCACAGGCCCCTGCGAGCAAGGAGTCCAAGAAGAGGGACACTCGTCTACGACGGCAATGTTATCGAATACTAGTACTGTTATTATATTTATTCTTCTCATTATCAGTGTTGCTGTTATTATTATTGTTGTTGTCACTGAGAATAGGCTGAGGCTGTTTAGTCTTCGGTTCTTGATGCTGTGTAGGTCCAGGGTTGTGGGTTGGGGTCTTGAGAATGACAGTTTTCGGATGTACTTTTCGCAGCAGAAGAGAGAGCTCTTGTGCGAACACGGGATTTGAGACTTCCTGTTTTAACCCTAAACCCTAAACCCTAAGCCCTAAGCCCTAAACCCTAATTAATAGGGGGGGATGTGGGCCTGAGGGGCTTTCTCCGCGGCTTCTTGGGTTGAAGGCTTCAATTTCAAAGGCTCCGAGGTGCTTCGACGCTGGAGCCTAAGCTGAAACCACGACCGTTTCGGGTAAGAAAAGTCATGTAAGTTGCTAGGAGTTTGGGGCTGGCATTGCGTAAGAGATAAATGCATGACGGGTCAGACTAGTACTCTCGTGCAGTATTGCAGCGGCTATATGCATATACTACAAACCCAAACCCGAGATTAATTACCAAGTGCCGTAACAGGATGCTAAGTGAGCCAACCCTGGGTTGCGCTGTTTTCTGGGTCTGATGATTTGGTTTCCCTGCTCTGGCACCCTTGCAGCACAAGCACAAGTGGGCTGGTCCTCTTAAATGTCGTTAGGAGGATTCTTCACCTGGCTTTCAGGTGCTACAATCCAACCGGATGTCCTCCTTGGGAGCATGCGGTTGATGGTCATCTGTGCCACCACGGAACCACCCTGGAGCTAGACCCTAAAGGCATGAATCCTAAACCCTAAACCCAGAAATCCTTAAACCTAAACCCGTGGCGACACAGACTTCTCCCCAAACCGCGAGCTCTGAGGATCAAATAGGGGTTCCTGTCAAACAAGCCCCGTCTTAGAGGGCTTATCAGATTCCTGGACCCAGAAGAAACCTACATTTTTCGGGTTCCTGATGATGGCTTCGGGAAAAAAGCCGGTCCTGAAACGGTAGGTTCCTTTTCGGGGTTCAGGTAGGGGTGTAAGGGTGACCTTTTTTGGGGGACTTCCAGTAGAAGTGTCTCGCCCTAAACCCCAAACCCTAAACCTTAAACCCGAAGCCTTAACCTCTAAACCTGAAGCCCGAAACCTTAAACACTTCCAGGAGGCACCCGCAGAGGAGCCTCCGAAGGCGACGAAGGGTTTCTGGGAGCTCCCCCAAAAGCTCGGTCTGGGAGGGCCGGAGAAGTTCAGGATGTGCCATTTACTGGGTTCTTGTTAAGGGATTGAATATAAGATACCATAATAGGGATCCATAGTAAACAATTTCATATGGCTTCTTTATTATGGTAACTTAAAGTAAATCCCTTAACAAGAACCCTGGTTGAGATTTCATCCCTTTTTGGGGGGGGGTTTGAGGGTTTAGGGGCTCTAGGACTCAGGGTTCGGGGCGGTTGCCTGTGAACTGCAGGTTTACACACCTTTTTTGGAGTGTCCGAGACCTAGGGTTTATTGAAGAAGCCAAAGGTTTAGGGTTTAGGGTTTGACGTTTGGGTTTTTCTGGAAGGGCTAGAATCGAGATTGACTTACTACTACTGTTCTGTCCGGCATGACGATCTCTTGCGTTGATCGTCCCTGGTCGAGTTCTCATTTTTCATCGTATTGTTAAACCCTTAAATCCCTGAAACCCTAAACCCAACCCTAAACCCTAAACCCTAGACCCTAAAATCCCTAAAACCCAAGCCCCCTAAAATCCTAAACCCTAAGCGGAGCTTTGGACAACGAGGCCGCCGAGGAAGAGAAGCCGAAGAAGAAAAAGAAACCCGCGGAGGTTCCTGCGTCTGCCATTTAGGGTTTAGGGTTTAGTAAATTTAGGCTCTAGGCTACGGGTCTAGGTACCTAATCATCGCACATCCGCAAACCCCAAAGCCAACCTACAGCTATTTCTACCCTATCCAGGGAAACCCTAAACCCTAAACCCAAAAGCCAACCTACAGCTATTTCTGTTTTGTCCAGGGTTGGAGAAAAGGCTTCTTATCTACGGGGTCTGTGGGTTTGGAGATGCCTAGGATCTTGTGGCTGCAGGGTTTGGAGCTTTCGGGGCTTTTGTAAGGGTTTCTGAAGGCTGTACCAGCTCTGGATTCGGTGATTTCGGGTATTCCGGGTGAGGCCTTTAGGCTATTAGGGTTTAGGGTTTAGGGGATCACCATTTTCTGCCAGAATCATCTGTCTCCGGTGTCAGGGAAGAGAAACCCCCCGCGCCACAACTTAAGACTTGGGGTCAGAGCTGCGCCATTCCTAGGCAAAGCAACCTCAGTACTCACTACGGTTGATGATATAAATCCTGCATCAACAGTATGTTGGCAGAGACATATCAGGGCCAGGCTTGAGGGAACAAGCTTGGATGTAACATAGGGGCCTGAGTAACGATCCCTCCCCGAACTCATTAAATTATGAACTGGCACCCGATGCAGGCCAAGAAGAAGAAGGAGGACGGAAGGGACGGCTTGCTGTGTTAGACACGTGGGATCTCCGGCATGAAGCTTCATTGAGCCAAAAGAGTACGATGCCCTTATAAGAAGGACCCTAAGAGGGGCCTGCCCATATAGTAATTGTCAGAGCGCCGTATGGGGCTAGCTTTTGCAGCCCTATGCCACCAGGTTCGGGGTTTTAGGGCTTCGGGTGTAGCATCCTATGCGACGAGCCCTAAGCCCTAAAGCACCCCTAGCCTAAGCTACTAGGTTTAAGGGTTTTAGGGTTGAGGGGTGACCCAAATTTCAGCCAATCAAAGCTCCAAACAGGCGCTTCTTCCAAAACTTGAGCCCCATATCAGAGGCTCCATTATATACCATAGTATACTGTACTGTGCCATGCCATAGTGTAAAATGCACAGTATCAACTATGCTATAGTGCAATATAAGAGTGCCCCACAGTGCAATCAATCATGTCGGGGCCGAGACCCTCATCCCTGCTTGGGAAATCCCAGAACCTGCTGTTTCCACGGTGTATATATAAGGGGGTTTACATGGGTTTAGGGTTTAGGGGTCATAACCCCACGATTTTGCGGGTTTGGGGCTGCAGGTAAAGCCTAGGGGACGAGAAGATCCCCAACTGTGTAGCTTCTCAAGGTTTCGGGCTTCCGAGAACCCGCACCATTAAACTCCAAACCTTACAGCCCGAACCGTAAGCTTCAACCCCAAAACTGAAAACCCCGATGCTTGAAGGCTAGAAGCCTTAAGCCATGTATCCTCACACCATAAACCCCGAACCCGAACCTTTCCCCTAAACCCAAGAAAGCCTAAACCCTAGCTCCTGGTGATGTTGCGTAGGCCTCTACCGGGCTGTGTCACCCTTCTCGTTTCTGGAAGCACTCGCTGGAAGACTTAAGGTTTCAACCTACATCTCTGAAAGGTTTAGACCTTTTTCAT